CTCGGGCCCGAGGCAGCCTCCGGGCAGCGCGCTCCTGGGTCAACCTGCCAGCAGGGAGCAGCCCTTCTGCCCTCAGCGCCAGGCACCGCGGCTGCTGCTGGGTGGGGGCAGGGGCGGATTTGCACTTTATAGATTAACTCAAACGAGAGATGTTTGGGTATCGATATCTATACTTCTATATCTCTCCCTATACCTATTTCTATACAGAGTGCAAGGTTTTGTGAGCCAACGGACACTTCCTCGGCAGCCATGCCCCTTTGAATTGCCCGGGGTGCGCAGGCCGAGGCCGCGTGGAGGGGAACGCTGGACCGTAGACAGGGAAATGCAGCGCACGTCTTGAGCAGCCCGCCTGCTGTACTGGGGCAGACCAGCTGCCCATCTAGCCCGGTAGCCCGTCTGGGACAGTGGCAGAAGTGGATGCTATAGAGCAGCGGTTCTCAACCGTTTTTGTACCAGGACCTATTTGTAAACCCCAATGGCCAGCCTGTGAGGGAAAAGCCACCATTTCCCAGTTTTCTCCTTTACCGAAGAATCCGTTTTTGAAGTTTGTTGATCCATTTTTTAAGTTTCTTCACAATCCTGTCATATATATTCGCAACCCACAGATTGAGAAACGTTGCTATAGAGGGAATGACCCGAACCAGATATGTCCTCGACTCCGTACCATCCCTGCATCCACCGTGCATCGGGTTAGAGGTGCCACATTGCTCCATAGCCAATGGCAGATCTCACATGGGAATGGATGCAGTCCCTTTCTGAACCTGGACGTGATCCCTGCCTCCACCCCCTCCTGTAGCAATGAATCCCACCAGACAAGTGTATGTTGCAAAATAAAAGTACTGCTCCTGTTAGTTTTACACCTGCCACCTACTCCTGTCAGCGGGTGCCCCAGGTCTAGTGCTCTGGGACTTGGGGACCAGCAATTCCCTGTTCCCTTAGTCCAGACCCTTCAGGATTTCAGAGACCCCTCAGCCCCCTCCCTCCCTCGCTCCCAAGCTGAAGAGCCCTTTTAGTCTCTTCTGGTCTGTCTGGCAATTGCTGTTCATTTTGGCTGCCCTTGTGTTGCACAAATTGCTAGTTTCGTGCCCCTGGAGGCTAATCCAATTTACCTCAAGGAGAGAGTCACACAAGCAGGCTGGGTCCAACTCGAGTTTATTGTTTGCAAACAAGTTCGACAGACGAGCTCACTTGCTCAAAGCAAAGTCGACCCCGAGCCGTGCCCGAGGTTCCATTTTTATAGCTAACATGAACAAAAGATTCCAACGTGGTAATATGTGATTGGTTATATTTTTCTGCAAAGTTTGGTACATACGTAGTCCTAAAACGGAACTGCGGCAAAAAGGCCTGCCACATGTGCAGTTCTGAACTGTGTGCCCCTTAGTAACCTTGTGTTTTGGTGTAACTCTAGGGTAATGAGCGTGTATGATGTTTACAAAATGTATGTGCTCTAATAAGAAACCTTGAGACTTATCTCAAAGCGAGTGTTGCCTAGACTGTTTCTTATTATGACACTGCTTATCTACTGCAGGAGGAAAGAAGAAACATCTCACAGTTCAGCTATGAGGCCCTGTATAGTGAGAAGAAGGGATCACGATACATTTTTACCACACTTGTCTTGTGCCTTTTCTAATTCCACGACACCCTCCTGGGGACCAGACCTGCCCACGTATTAAAGCTGTGGATGTCTTTTGAAGTGAAATCTTAATGTGCCCAGACTCTGGACCATCAAGAAGAAATTTTTCTATTTTATTGTTTAATGTTCTGTGTTCCAAGCCAAATGAGCCAAAACAAATCCCAAATCCAAGAGTCAGTCCAGACCCATAAGTGGCCCTACTACCGGCAAGCATCCTCCATCCCCACCCCCACCCGGGGCTTCAGATGTTTCCAAAACGTTTGGTGGGTGTCCTACTTCCAGGCCCAAGCCAAGAACTAGAGATTTGAGGAGCAGCCCCTTCATGCCCGGCCTGAGCACAGCTCCCCCTGCTCTCCAGCATCGACTTGTGCACAGCCTCGGCACTGGTTTGGCCTCTCCCTGCTGGAGAGGATTAATGTTGCCTAAAGGGAAATGAGAAGCCTCACGACAAGTGGGACAGGACTGTTATAGAGACAAACACCAAGGGCACCCCCACCTCCCCCTCTGCCCTCTCTCACACCAAGGACAGTGCAAACACCAAAGGCACCCCCACCTCCACCTCCCTCTCTGCTCCCAACCACAGTATTTTCAGTCAGGCACTACCACCGCCGCCTCACTGTGCCGCTTTCACTCAGGCAGTGTAGTAGATGCCCCGGGCGAGGCCCGGCCTCGCAAAGCCCCACGCGCCGGCTTATGATTGGCTGCGCCGCAGCCCTTCCTTCTTTCTCAGCTGCCAGGAGTGGAGGCTGTCGCGATGGTGAGCGCTCGCGAGCCCGCGGTTCCATCCGCCCCGGGCCGGCGCCATCCCGCCCCGACCCGCGACCCCGCTCGCGCATTGGGTCC